TGCAAAAGGCACCGACATATTGGTTCATTCATTCAGCAAAAGGCACCGACATACAGGTTCAAAGCAGCAAAAGCGCCGACGTACAGGCGTAGCGGAAGTAAAGTTCAAGCGAACTTTTAAAGATCGACAAGAGGGGATCTTCAGTAATTTCCTTTGGAAAATTATCACAACAAATGAGGATAGCTTCAAGCGAGGATATCTTCGACAACATTCCCTAGATTGTGGAGAGTTGTCAAAAACAACTGAAGGTGATTTCAAGCGAAGTTGTCTTCGATCATGTTCCCTTAGACGTGGAAGATGGTAACAAAGCGGAAGAGGATTGTTTCAAGCGAAGCAATCTTCGATAGTGTTCCCTTAGACATGGAATATTATCAAAGCGGAAGAAGGTCGTTTCAAGCGAATCAATCTTCTAAATTGGAATTAGTTACAAGTGTAGCGGTTTTCAAGCGAAATGGCATTCTCTTGGCAGGAGGTCATCAAAACAACAGTAAAGCGGCAACAAGTTGGTTACTTTCAGAGACGCGTGCTCGACGGTGCAAGATACACGTTTCTTAACTCTCTTATATGTTTAACTAATGCTAGTTTGCAGGTATCGGCGTTGCAAGAGTGATTTTGGATCGCAGAACGTTCTGAATCATTCTTCGTCCCTATCGCTACTTTGACTTTTGTTTTTGAAACTTGCGTTTCTCCAAACTCAGTCAAAGTGGGGGCTTTTGTAGACACTAATTTGTGTCTCCCCAAAACCAAACCCAGTGATGAGTACCTTTCACGTCGAATCATAATCGAATAAAGTGAAAGTGTGGAAAGTTTAGTGTTGCAGATAGTTTTAATTTCTTTTCTTTTCTCTCTATTTTTGAAAACCTATTTTGAGAAAACAGCCAATCCAGTTTTGTTGGTCCATGATATGGGTCCAATAGTAGTGTAGTTGGATGGGGCTTGACAAGAGCTTTCCTAAGATATATTATAATCCCAATTCCGATTAATATTGAGGAAGTTATGGCCAAAATACCAAACTGGGCCCGGTTTGAGCCTTATATGCGGCCCAATGATCTAGAGGAGGGCCTAATATGGATTTATCATTCCTAATTCAATTAGCATTGATAAATTGACTTTTCTTGACTTTTTAGAGTTTTAATCAGAATAAAAGAACGTTTTTGAGGAAAATATGATTTTATCCTCTTGTACGGAAATTTCTATCTGATTTTAAGAAAACGCGTGAATTTCTGAGTCAGTGTCAAACGCCAGCTGTAGCGCCTGACGCTATGCTTGGCGCCTGGCGCTAGTCTTAGCGTCTGGCGCTAAGGTCAGCGTTTGGCGTTAACTTGGCTTTTTGCGTCAGAATTTTGTTTTTTATGTTTTATCTTTTTGGCTGATTTTCTCTGTAAATAACGTGCTAAAAACTCCGTTTCATTCACCAACTCTGATCAAGATCTTCTTGATTACTCTCTCCCTCTCTTTTCTAAACTAGCCTTCTCTCAAATCTAAAAATTCCGCATTCATTAGATTTAGATACACCTAGCCATATTCGATGTTGCCTTCTCCCTAGATGTGAAAGGTTTAATTTCTGAGGGTTTGGTCCCAAATCTCTATGTCGTTTATTTGATTTAATTATTTATTATTTTCCTTGAAGTTACTAACGTGTGTGTTTTGTTATTAGAAAGAGGTACGAGGCATCAAAGTAAGTATTTTCATGGTTTTTATTGATGTTATGATATAGAGTTCATGCTTAGGTTGTTATTATGATATTCCTAGTATCATGTCTAGGGTAACTTTAATATTAAATATGATTGTTATGATGCCTTTTATTTTCTTTGTAATATTTATGATTGTTAGTATCATGTTATGGCTATATATTTAATTTTTAATGTTTAGTGACATGCTAGGGTTTGTTATTAATCTTGTTAGTATCATGCCTAGGATCTTGCTATTATTATTATGATTTAACATGATTATGATTATTATGATTTTTATAATCGTTATGATTGTTACTATAATTATTATTATGTTGCTTGATGTTATTTATTGTTATTGCTTGATCACACCTTTTATGCATGTTTAAAGGGAATTTGTACTTGTAATCACGCTTATATAAGATAATTAATAATCTTTTTTAGGGTTAATTTGATTATAATTCAAGTGATCGCCAATAATAGATTTATTTGTGCATTAATATTCAACCAACATAGATAAACAGGTTTAGGGTTAATCCTATTGATTGCATGTTAGTCAGAAAGCGCACATGAATACGATCTGAATAAAGTAGAGGCCTATTATTAGAGCAAGTTCAATCTCTTTTAGGTTGGATTTGTACCTTCATCCCCGAACCCTATTTGGTTCAAGACCTTATGGAGTTGACGATCTCATGGATCGTTAAGGGGTGTAACCTTCACCTCGTGAACGGTTTACAAGTTCCTAAAAACTTGTTGTCGACTCTTTTGCTTTATCTTCTTTCCCTTTGGACGCCACCGTACTTTAGTGTATGATCACAGTGGGGTTCAAGCTAGGGGTTAATGCTTGAAATATTCCCTACATGACGAGACACACAAATAATAATAAATCGACAATATTCCCAAAATTCCCCTAGCATCGGAATTCCTCGAGCATCCGAATGCTAGGAGAATAATATGCTAGCACAGGTGGCTAGCATACGCACCATGCCAAGCCAAGGGTGGCTGACTAGTGCGTGCTAGCGCACCGTGCTAGCAGCAGCTAGCACACCAAGGTAGTAGCTGCTAGCAGCCTGCACATGGTATGCGCGCCATGCTAGCAGCAGCCCGCACTTGGAGTGCGTGGCTTGCTAGCCACAGTAGCAGCCCCCAGTTCCAAGTGCGGGGCTAGGCTTCGATTGGGCTACGGCTGGGCCTAAGGCACAGGTAGTAGGGCCGAAACTCATGGGAAGCAAGTGGGTGAGGGACAAGTGGCACAAAGGGAGTATGGAGTGGGGAGCAAGTATGGTTCCCTATTCTCCAAGTGGTCCACACTTCCCTTTTCATATAATAGTGAGACTTGTAGATTTATTATTAGTTTGCTTATTTATTTTAATTTAGCTTTAAAATAAATTGTGTAATTTCATCCTCCCACATTTATTTTAAGTACGGACTCCTTGGAGTGATTAAGGGAGGTATTTTGGAAGAATAAGGTAGGCTAGTGTTTAGGATATAGCATATAAGAGAGAAGAGAGAATTAATTAATGCCCCAAATTGCAGAAATGAGGGGGGTATTTATAGGGAAAATGAGCAGAGAGAACACACAGAACCCTAAAATGATAAAAAAAAAAAACAACCCTAAAAAAGAATACCGTGACACGTCAGCAGCATGCCACGACGCGGTATAATTTAGTGTGACACGGGGTATTTTGGTGCGACGCGGGAAAAAAACAGACCTACAGAGGATAAAACGCATTTAGGTTTTATACGGAGAAAACACGGGACCATTCCGTGTCACAAGAAAATATGTCGTGGCATGGCAATTGATCCCGTGGCACGACATAGGTTGTCGTGACACGATGGACTTTGTTTTCATTTTTACGTCCAAATTCATTTACACCTAATTACGCTCAGCATTTTAAGTTTGTTTCATAATTTCGGGCTATTTAGGTTTATTATTTATTAATTGGGCTAAAATAATAAATAATATAAAATGAATAAAAAAAGATTTGGGCCAAAATATAAATTGGACTATGCTTTGACTAACCATTAGGACTAATCCGTTAACTATTTTATGAACTATGTTTGATCGAATATGAATTTTAAGCACTCTCGAGATTAAATACTCAACCCGACCAATAATGGCGGGGAAAGGTTGTTCATCATCGGGTCTGGTTTCGGGGAGACATTTTTAGGTGTCTACAGTAGTACATGAGCAATTACCATAAGTAAAGGCAATTGTAGACACCTAAAAATGTCTCCCCAAAACCAGACCCGATGATGAACAACCTTTCACCGCCATTATTGGTCGGGTCGAGTATTTAATCTTTGGAGTGCTTAAATCCATATTCAATCCCAATACATTTCATAAACCAACCCAATTCCTAGCCCATTTCCCCAAATTATAACTTATTTTCCTCTTTTTATGCCTTTAAACCCAAAATAATTCATTTCGTCTCCCTTAAAATCATTCATTTCGTAACCTTTTATAAAAACATTTAGACCAGTTTAATTTGGTCCATAATCTGGGTCCAATGATTGAATAGTTGGATAGGGCTTGAAAAGAGTTTTCCAACGATATATTATAAGCTCAAATCTATGTTATAACGAATTAGTTGTTACCTACACCCCCTTTAGGCATCATTGCCTACACCCCCCCCCCCCACTAAGTTACCATAATATCTACAACCCTCCCCGCTTAATTGCCTACATTTCCTCTTTCCTCTTCTAAATTAGTTTTCTTGATAATTTTACTAACGTTTGAAATTTCTCTCTCCTTATAATTTTACCACTTTCTCTCTCCTCATAATTTTAATTACCACTTTCTCTCTCCTAAACTACCACAAACTTCTAAATATTTCTTGAAAATAAATCAAAATACTCCACTACTACATTTTTGACCTATTGCAACCCTTAAATCCGTTGTATTAGGCGTCAAAATCCGTGGCATTAGGCCTAATTCAACGGCTATGTACCGTGGCATCTGATGGCGTTGCAGTAGGTCTAATGCAACGACATATGACACCTAATGCCACGGTATCAATGATCCGTTGCGTTAGATCAATACATGATGCAACGACACCATTATTGCCGTGGCATTAGCTATAATACCTAATGCTACGGTTTCATATGCCTAATGCCACGATTCACTATACCTATTGCCACGGTTCCCTATACCTAATGCCACACAATGCATATACCTAATTCCAGTATTATAATAATAATAATAATAATAATAATAATAATAATAATAATAATAATAATAATAATAATAATAATAATAATAATAATAATAATAATAATAATAATAATAATACAATTAAATTAAAAAAAATTGAATTTTATTATTATAAATTAAATGTTTGTACATTGTTATCTATAAGGAATGTTACAAAATTAATTTATCACTTGTTAAACTTAGATAAAACAATTAAAAGTTTAAACTAAATCATTTTGTCCCCCAAACAATATTTTGTACCATTCTTTGGACCGTATTATCATTTCTTTCTCCTGCTTCTCCAATTTCTCAAGTAAAGCAATTTGGGACCAATTCAGGAAGCATCTTCTTGAGCTTTAGTATCCACCTCTAGCACTGTTTACACATATCCGGATCTAGATCCCCTAATAAACAAAACACACAAACAAATCAAAATGGGATTATAGAAAAATCGAGCACTAAAAAAAAGGAAAGGAACTTTAGTTGAACAATTTAAAAGATTAATTAGATATACAAAGTTCATTATAAGGTTCTTTTACTTAATTAAGAAGGTAATCTTCATCACATTATATCTCAGACCAGAGCAGATAGACATATATAGCAAAAAAAACCAATCACACTAAAAGCAGGCGTGTTCGCAATAGATAAAATACATTAAAAAGAGAAATTAAAATTGATTAGCAAAAACCCCATTGCAAACAAAGATACAAGTATAGTACACTCCTTGATGAGGCCTTTGTAACCAAAAAAAATATAAGTGAAACTTAGAAGAAAATTCATAAAAACTAGATAAATTTCACAGAAAAACATTTGCATTACAAGTCTTGTTGTCTCCCATAATATATTACAAGAAACAGAGAGATCATTTTCACCTCACCATAACAAATTCAAATTCATAAGAAGGATTAATTTCCATAAAATTTCAGAATGCCTTCATATATCCATATATTTTTATCAGATACACAAGGTTAAGTTTGAGACATTGACTTTCCCAGCAAATCATCATATACAGTCCATTTTTACCTGCATGTTTATTCAACCTAAAATACTTATAATTTATGAGAGAGGGAGAAAGCTGGACTGATTACGTTCAAATTATGTAGTGTTATGACTCAAAAAGTCTGAAGTCATGATAGAAGTAGCCTAACATCCTTTAGAAAATGACAATGTAGATGCAAGATTTTTTTTTTAAAAAAGTGAATATACATTCTCTCTAATCCATAATGAGTGCTAACTGAGGTAATGCTCATTTTTTTATGAAGTGAGGTTAATGTATTAGTGCTTAACCTAAAAGAGTGAATTGACATTTCCGCAAATGGCATATCTAAATCTTGAATGAGAAAAGTTAGAAACGTGACCAGATGAATGAGATGATACATAATGGAAAGAGTTGAATTACCTTGCCAAGTGTGTTTGCTGAAAGAGGGGCAATAACCATGATGTCAGCCCACCTGCGAAGCTCAATGTGAAGGACATTGCCACCTATTTTACTCCAACTAGACCATTCATCCTCATCTGTGTACAGCATCAGATCCTCTGGAATTGTCACATTGTTAATAAAATGCAATGCAGATTTAGATGTCACTGCTTTTACATCAGCCCATTCAGAAAAGCAATGACAGAGGTCCTCAAACTTGATCGCAACAACACTTCCACTTGCAGCTAGAAGGATCCTTGGTCTCCTAGGTGTGTCATTAGCCTGTACAGGTTCTATGTGAGTAGTAACAGGCTCTCCTTATGCCATGACCAAAGAACAAGCCAGCTCTGTTCAAAAATCTGAGATATATCCATAGCCATAAAGTCACAAATCAAAACAGCGTACTTCATTCTGTCCTATTTAATGCAGCTAATAAAACTAACAGATGCAATAAAATGAGAAGATTACAAGCTACCACATTTCAGAATCAGATTACTTGAACCAGCCAAAGATTGGAACAACTAAAAACACCAGTTAAAGATTGAACCAGCGAACTAATGTCATTTTTGTGTATCCAAATTGATCAGTTTTATTAGAGTTTCTCAAGAATTCCTTCTTCCTTGCAAGGTAATCATTGAGGAAATTAATCCTGGTTCTTATCTCTCTATTGGGGTTGGATCAGATTTTCATTTAGAAATTATGATCTAATATTTCAACACATACACGACATTATGCAGAATTGAACAACTTATAGCAATGTGTCCAATACATTCAGATCAATTAAATAGTAAAGACTAAAAAATTTGAGCAGAATCAGGAAAAATGAAAACTCGAAAATTTAAAAAAAAAAACGCAAGAAACCATAAAATTGTTAATAAAAAAAATGTAGTACCGCGGTAATACTGTAGATCAGGAAGTGTATCATGAAGATTACTCACCTTAATCGTTCTCTTTCTCTCAATCAAACTAGCAAAACCCAGATTGATTAATTATTCTAAGAAAACCAGACTACACAACATTGATTAATTATTCTAAGAAAATCAGACTATGCAACAGACATATAGACAATCACCAACCATTTGAAAATAACTAGCAAGGAAAAGACTTAGCCAAAACTGTTGGATTCAATAAGTCCATAGATAATTATTGTTCATTACATTGAAATTCTAGCCATAAGTACTCTACATTACACAACAAAAGGAATTACTATACATCAATCTTACTATCTATCCTCCACTAATCCATAGTATTTATTTATTTTGCATTATTGACCCGTATTCAATTGCCTTGAGACCCTTTACAAAAAATTAAAGACTTTCCTGAGAAGTTGAAGACTACCTTGATGTTTTCCCTATGCTTGTTGACGACATGGAAGAGCCAAAACAGACCTGCAAACATAGATCTTCAATTAAGTATTAACATTGGTAATAAAAAAACATATCCAGTACCTGTAATTTGCTTTACAATGCACAAAACAGTTCCTTTAACACCAGTTCACCGAGAAATTAATTAAAAATAGCACAAAATTCGTAGATAGTGAATTTAAATCAGGAGCAATGAAGTTAATAAAGGCTTTCTTGATGAAATTAAAGCAAATTTGACACCGAAGACTAAGATTGAAATACAACAAAGGATAAAACAACCGAAATTTCAAACGTTCTTATATCAAATTGGGGCCTTGAGGGTTAGGGTTTTTGCCGCTTCAAAGGGAAAAAGGAAAGAGAGAATGGCGTAGTATGATGAAGTGAAAATGAGTGGTGTGGTTTAGCTAGAATTAAAATTGACAAAATTTCGAGCATCAATCAGGGGGCGCCGCTAAGTGGAGGAAGATAGAGGGGAGAGAGGGTAGAATGGAGGAGAGAGAAAGGGTAGTCGTATAGATCGAGAACAAAAGAATCCCTTTTACATTTAAATGGTATAGATAGTGAGCGTTGTATTAGACATACCTATTACAACGCGTTAGACCCTGATCTAAAACAACTATTGCATTAGACCATGTTGATGCCACGGTAACTTACTAACTTACATAGCCGTTGCAATAGCCTAATTTTGGGCGTTGCATTTGAACAAAAATGTAGTAGTGCTCTTAGATCTCTACTTGTAAAAGAAAAAATCAAGAAATCAAAGAAAATTTCTACAAAAGAATGACCATCAATCAAATTGTAAGTTGATGATTTTTTTTATTTTTCGAAAAAAAGATTAAACCCTAACTTTTTAATTGCCTTATTCTTCAATAGTATGAACTTTCAATAGTAGCAGTTATGATTTCTTATAATTTTACTTGGTAATGATGCTTTCTTAATATTATAGTATAATGATGTTTTATATACTCTATTTAAGTTGATTTAACTTGTGTGTGTTATTAGCCTATACAATTACTGGACAAAAAAAATTAAACATAGAGTTCAATTGCTCTAATATATATAATGAATAATTTGATTTATTTCGTAGAATTATAGAAATATAAATTTAGTTCGCAATGGATTTTTTTAATGAATGTTCATTTATATATTAGTAGATGGTCATTTACTTATTAATAAATAATCATTAGAATTCTTCACATATCTAATAAGAATTTCAATTAGAGTTTGTAGTTTTTAATGGAAATATATGTAATAAGAATTTTAATTAGAGTTAGTATTTAAAATGTGTGTTTGTATATATATATACATATACATATATATATATATATATATATATATATATATATATATTGTGTGTGTGTATATATATATATATATATATATTTAATATACAAACACACATTTATATATACAAACACACATTTATATATTTAATCACTTAATATATAAATTAATATATATTTAATCATTTATATTATATATATTTATATTAATATATAAATTAATATATATTTAATCATTTAACAATTCAAAAAAAAAATTAAAAAATAATCACTTAATTACTCTTACTTTTATTCTTACTACTATTATCATAATTAAATTTATTATGATTTGATTTTACTAATAATATATTTTTGAATTGATTCAAATATCAATGTTTATTTTTACTATATTTGTCGATCACTATATTGTATGTTTCAAGGGAATATGTAATCGAAAATCACGCCTAATAAGATAATTTGGACTTAGATTCCTTTTTAATCTTGTTATTTAATTAAGTGATCGCACTATATTAGAATTATGTGTTGCATTAATATTCAACCAATTTATAATAATAACAGTTTGAAGCGAATTGAATATTTTGTTTACATGCCTTTGAGATCGCAAAAATCACTTTTCACTATAAGAATCAAGTAGAGGCCAATACGAGCGAATGTGACTCCATGACTCACTTCCTACCATTCTCCTCGATCCTCCTTTCGTGGTTTCAAACCATATGGATTAGTAATCTCATGAATTATGAATGGGGTGTAACCTTCACGGGCCAATTGTTATTGCCTATCATTGTCCCTTTATTCACGGTTGCCTTTTATGATCCGTAAATGGTTTACAAGTTCGTTAAAAACTTGTTGGTGGCTCCCTACTTTCCTTGTCCCTAATCGTATACATCAATTCCCACTTCCTACGAGTTTCAAGCATATTCACACATACTTAACGTAGGTGCACTTCGAACGACGCCTACAATTTGGCGACTCCGTTAGGGAGGATTCTTGGTTATTTATCGATTTGAGTGATCGGTATTTAATTGAGATGAGTGGATGAGACTTAAAAGATTCTTGAATTATATTCCTGCAATTTATTTGGCATTGTCACATATGTATATGCATTTTAGCTTACCTATTTTGCCACAATAGTTCATGTTCTACGTATGTGGCTAGCCAGGGGGATTTAAGCTCTATTAACCCGAAAGCGCTCATGGCAATAAGGGTTCATCCGAGTTTTTAAATCCACCCAAACCATGGAGTTGAGTTCGGTCTCATCACGAACTCGCGGAGGCGCCCGTTAGCATACACTCTCAAGGGAGGCTGCTGTAATACCCCGTATTTTTATACGTATTTTATTTAAAATAAGTATTTTGTGGGGTATATAAATAATTTGAAATGAATTATTTATGATATTTTAAACAAGTTTGGAAATATTTTATAAAAGGAAAGTTTTATTTAATTAAGTATTTTATTAAGTTGGAATTTATTTTAGGAAAGTTTTATTTGAGTAAAGTTTAATTAAGAAAGGGGTTAGGAAAGATTAAAAGGAGAAGTTTAGGTAAGAAGGGTTTCTAGAGAAAGGGGTATAAATATTAAACACTTGGGCAAATTAAACTTTTCCCAGAGTGGGAAAACCCAAGATAAACTTTCTTTCTCTTCTCCTTTATTTTTTTCTCTTTTTATTTCTTTTTCCCCTTCCCATTTTTGGTTCACCACCACAGGGAACCACCACCGACGGTGTACCACCGGCCACCACCAGCACCAGTCGGCAGCAGCGACGACCACCAGCAGGCTGGAAGCAGCCGGTATTGGTGCCACCTGTTGTCCGGCCACCCCTATTCTCGAAAAAAAAAATTACCTTTTGTTTTTATTTTTGTTTGAACCTTAGATCTAATTATAAATTATGGTTTTTGTGTTAATTTTATGATGATTGATATTAAGTATAGTGCAAATTAATTTTCAAATTGTAATTCTAATTTAAAAGCCCCAATTTAAAAAACCCTAGATTCATAAATAATTTATTATGGAAGGATTATGATTTAGGATGGTTTAAACCTTTAATTTACGAGTTATAAAGCATAATTATAACAAGTTTTTATTAATATATATTGCTGGAATTTTTGGTAGAATGCTAAAAATCAAGTTTCTTTAAAGGATTTTAATTACCCATTAATTGGGATTAAAGTATGAGGTTTTAAAAAAATTTCAGCTTGTTTTAATTAAATTATGAGTGGTTTAATAAGAGTATATATTGCTGGAAATTTGTATAGAGTGGATTTTAATACTCTATTATGATTTTGGTTTGTAGGAGATTTAGAAGTGAGTGATTTCTATAAGTCGTGGCAATATTAAGATCGTATTCAAGGTATGTTCGCGTACTTAGCATAGTTTTGATGATATAGTGGCATGCTAGATGTGGTTAATTAATTCCAAGTAGAATCATGCTAGATTATGATTGGAAATTGTGGTTTGGTTGTTATTGGTGATTGAACAATGAAACATGATTTATTTGTGATGGATTATTGATTTGGAAATAATCGTTTGGTATGTTGAATATGAACCAAACTTTTATTTATGGAACTATAGAAGCATGTTTAATTAAATTAAATGTTTAATTTGGTTTGGAATATTAAAAGGGAATTTTAATATGGTTCATATAATTTTTATTGATGTTATAAGCATGGGAAATGAGCTATGTAAGTGTCTATGTACACAAGGAATAAATTGTGTGTTGGTGTCTTAGTGCACTTAAGGTGTTTTTAACACCAAGAGATAGGATTTTTGGCGCATTAAGCGTTTAAGGTGTCTTTGACACCGAGGTAGATTTAAAAAGGGTTCAACATTAAATATTATGTGGTCACTAATTATTCAATAATTAAATTGGATTGTTAAATTGTTTGAATAATTATTATGATTGTATGATTATAGTTTGAGAGTCATCACCAAGTTTAATAATATGTAAAGAACGTAAAGTAAAATAGATTACGCACCAAAACTCTTGGAACGTATATACCTTGAGTATGAACATATGGGGGGAAATATGGGTAGGGATGGAAATGGATCGGGTTCGGATCGGGTGGAGCTCCACTTGAATTCGTCACCCGCATCCATCTGTTTCACCCGATCCATCCATCACCCGCATAATACATCACCCAAAATCCATCCATCCACCATCCGCGGGTGTAACGGATGGGCCGGGTGGTAAACAGGTGGGTGAATAAAAATTAATTTTAGTAAAAAAAAAATTAAGAAAATTATTTAGACCTTTTAATATTAAAATAATCATTGTAAAATAACTGTGATATGTCAAATATTAACATAAAAAATAAAATATAGTCGTACCATACAACTTTTAATATGCAAATATTATATATGTGTAAGATATTTATATTTATTGTTACAAAATAAGAATATTTATAATATTAAACGGTTGGATGGATGGGTGACGGATGGGATTAACCACCACCCGAATCCGACACGATCCATCACCCGATTCACCCGTCACCCGCCTCTCATCCATATAAACCGGGTTTTTCACCCGTTTAATAAAGCGGATGGACCGGGTGGTCGGATGATCCGTTGGATATTTCCATCCTTAGTTATGGGGTTTTATATTTAACCATAACATCTACTGGGAGTACCAGACGATGTATTTTCCTTTTATTATTATGCGCAGGAATTCCACCACTTACGAGTTGTTCTTTTATACTAGCACAATTAGCTCCCGTGTTAGTATCCCTTTATTTGGGTAGGTTAGGGGGGAAACCCATTCGATGCGGAATCAAAACTAAATAAATTATTTAGTTACTTAGTTGAGAAGTTTTGTTGTATGTTGTGTGCTTGGAAATAGGTGCAACAAGGTAAGTTGTGTGTTGATAGGTAAAAGCATGTTAGTGTGTTTAAATATGCTTATGTACTCAGCTTTGCTGATTGTGTGTTTGTGTGTTTGTTGTCCTTGTTTTTACCTTGGCACTATGATGAACCATTTTTAATAGAGAGTAGTGAAAACAAGTAGAGAGTAATTTGGTTAACTTTACTTTTGGTTGGTTGACTTTTTATGTTGAGTCGTTTTAAATATTTTAAAGGAAATTATTCCGCTGTGTGTCTTTAATAGTTGTCTTAGCCGTTTTCACGATGGCGGTAATGTCTTAGATTTTCCTATTTAAAGTTTTAAATAGGGCAAAAAAGGTATTTTAAAAGAAAGAAATTTCTAGGTTGCTACAGCTGCCTTGATAATGCGTCCAAACTCTTAACAATGGTACCCTTTGACACGTAAAAG